TGCCCGCCGCTACTAACTGCCGTGGAGGCGAGAAACACAGTTGGAAATCTGATCCACACCTGAACTCGTCCGATCTATTTTTGAAACATCGAGATGCAACATAAAAAAAAGACAAATGAAACACTTGAAACATGCTTCTAAAACACTTGAAAAACATTTGAAAACCATTGCAAATATTCGTAATATCCAGATAAAACACTTCAACATATATGTGAAACGTATGCAATATCCAAATAAACACACTTGCAACAATACGTCCGAAAACATAGATGAAACATTATGAACAGACTTTTGCAACATACGTGTACAACCATTGCAACATATGCAACATACTAAAAAAAGGGCAACCGCTGCCGCCGAGGGGCGCAGACGGCTAGGGCCGCCGAGCGCCGGGGTGCGGTCGCCCAAGGCGCTGCCGCCGGGGGGCGCGGCCAGCGGGGGCCGTCGATGCCAGAGGGTGCGGCCCATTGGGGCCACCAACGCCGTAGGCCGCATCTGGCTACAGGGTGCCGGAGACACGGTCGCGTGGGGCGTCAGAATCAGGAAGAAAGCTGCGGGCAAGAAGATAGGAAACGTAGAGAAGGAAAAAGAAGGCTAAGGGCATTATGGTAAAAAAAAATTCCCCAACTCGTGCCAAACGGGGTCATAAAAATAGCTCAACTTCACCAATAAAGTTGTTCATGAAACTGAAATGCAAAAAAACAGCTTCACTAGTAAAACTAAGCTATGCCAAATAGAGCCTTACTATTTAATGGTACAAATATTAGTATTCTTTTATAAACTCGGTAAAATTAACATAATTTGACTTTGGATAACACTATAACGTTAAGTTTTGGCAATGGTATAGAGCTAGTATTAAATAGAAATTTTGATGTTATATTTTGTATTTTATTAAGACAGACGAAATTAATCTTACCTCATCATCAAACTTAATTCCATATCACAAATTCTCATTGGGAGCGTTCGGCTGGCTGGGCTGAGCCCGGCTGGTCAGCTCACTCAAAGAAATACTATTCACGTCCAGACAGAACAGTATTTTTCTCTTACAACAATCAGCCGTAACAGTATTTTTCAGTCCTGCCGAACAGGCCCTTAATTACATAGCAATTCTGAGTATTCAGTTTACAGAACCTTTTTTACATCCAACCTACAATTATTATGACGCAAACACGTCCAAAAACAAGATACCGCTAACCTACATTTATTCCTGAGAACCGAGCATCACACAGCTTACCAAGATTATCTAGCTGATCATGAGTAGTGCCGAGCAAGCTCAAGCTCGACACAACGAACACCGAGACACAAGATGATGCGTCGATAACATCTATTTCTAACTGTCTGCAGCACTGAAAAGGTGAGCAGGGCAAAGCCATTTGTAGGAGTAGTGTGTTACTCCTTGCCATCAGAGAGAAAGATCCAAATCCAGCAGCAGCTATGTATGCAATGTGCAGGTCAGCGGGATCATCGATGCAAAATGGCAGCATTCGTCACACGCGACGTACAAACCGAGGTAACAAGCTCTGTTCTTTGCAGCATCTATCACCTTTCGGTCGCCAATGAAACAGAGCAATGTGAATCATCAAGCTGGCAGCATCTGAGAGCCAACTGAAAGTGAACAAGCCATAAAAGGAATAGGGTGATCGATCACCTAGCTCACGAACCTCAAGGCTTAAGAAAATGTTTCATGTCAGGGTCGATCTGGTAGGTAATGGCTGACTCTTGAGCCTGCACCGGACTCCACTGTTCACAAAGACATCGTTCTGACTGTACCTACAAAACAAACTAAGAGAATTCATGTCAAAACTGAGGCCACAAGCCGAACACCATCATGAACTGTTGCCTCGTTGATGGCCCAGCACGTACGTCAACAATGGATAGGGTGCATGAACTGACCTCCACTAAGCCCCATGACAGGACAAGTGTCATCATGAGCTCATCGTGTGCTAACCTCACAGGCCACAGCAGGCCAAAGCAACCTTAGTTTTCTGTCCATCAGCTGCCCAGTGGACGCTGCTTTTGATAGCTCACCTTTTATTTGGCTCCCTGGGGCTCCTCTCCACCTAGTGTTAGTGTGTGGTGAGACCAAATCAAGCAAGATTGGGTGGTGATGTCGCTCATCTGCATTGCCACTGGCGAGTGCTGCCGGGACCAGGATCACCTGTGAAATTCAGTGCTCCTTATCACCATATGCTTTTGGGAGAATCGGTTGGCTCGTCGGCCTGCAGGCATCCACATCATGGCTGAGGTTAGAGCACACTAATAGAGAGTCGGGTTCACGCTAGCGGTAAGAAGCACTGATTTTTCTACCATCTTATCAAGAAATTAAAAATTCAGACGTAAAGGATCTGAAGACTTATGGTACTCGTCAACCTATTTGCTGGAGAAAACTGGCTGGTTCATCAGCTTGTGCTGGTCTCCATCACCATACGATGAAAATTATCCACAGATTATTGATGGTTAAGGTGATTGACAGCTGGTGATTCTGCACATAAGCATAAAACAAATCCTTTCAGTAAAAAAAATACAGTTTTTGGAAGATTTATTTTCACCATAATTTCAAATTTCAGACATGTCAGAAACCAATAGTGCCATACTTGCACGTGAAAATATGAAATCAAGCATAAATATTATATAGATTTATTGGACTTCTATGCTCATTAAGTACTAACTACTACATGATGGAGAGTCAGAAAGAATTCCAAATTCGTGTATCTGAGAAAAGGACCTGACTTAGGTCATGCACTTCGTGGGACATGGAAACAGAATAAAAGGTTTCATCATGGTGATGATGACTGATCAGTCCTAAAGTCAGTAGTACATCCTGCCACAGCCAGGGAAGTCAGGAAGATGAACTCTTGGTACTGGTCAGAGACTACAGCAACTGACATATAGACAGATGAAAGAAGTGCAAAAGACAAACAAACAAACAGAGCAATGGTAGCAGGACTATTGGGCTCTCCATTAGTGGAATATAGAGCAGTGTTCAGTGTACAGGGAGCCTTCCAAAAGCAGGATAGATGCCAAGATAACAAGTTGGATAGACCGTCCCCACCACAAAGTGGACTGCAGCACAGGTTGGTGGCATCCACATCAGAGCTCCTTCCATGCCTTTTCTACCCTCCATCCGGGTCAGCCTCATGACCCTCACACATGAAACGGTATTTAACTTTGTGCTAAGGGAACCTTTCAAGATCAAAACAACTAATTCTATGGCAATGGAGAAGTTAGGTCTTGAAGATAAAAAATTTCTCAGGGCCCCACTGTTTAGAAACCTGTCATTTCATATCCATGCACCCATAAATGATATACAAAGGACAGTAATGAGTGATACAATGATAGTCAGGAACTTAGAAAGATCCATCATTCATCTCACTCACTTATCAATCAACAAGGACGTCAGAAATATAACAAAGATGACAGATGCCATGTGAAAAATCATGCCAATTTCTGATGATGCTGAACCAAGAAAAGGAAGCACAATTTAAGAAATAAATGATCAAAACTACTTGGCATCTGCTATATCGGCCAGCATACCTAAACCATATTCTGCCAGTAATATCAGTGTTAGCTTCTACGGAATACCTTCAATTAAAAAAATCCGTTAAAAACCATAACATTTTTTATACATCTGAAACACTGCAGATATGCTATCAACAGTATCATCACTAAATCAGGAAAGCTCTGCGTAATGGCACAAGTCATTCTAGTACTCAATACAGACACACAAAGGGTTACTTTTACGTGGTTCAACTCAACTAATGCCAAAAGAACATTTTTTTACGAGGCACCCTCAGTGGAAGAATATGCGTTTTGTGAATTTAAGTGTTGTTTCTATTGAAGGTGTGTTTGTGACTGAGATTTTTTTGCTATGCTTAGGATAATGGCTGACATGAGAAAACGGATGGAGTTCTCTGTGCCAATGACAACAGCTGACATAAAAGCAAATGCTTTTCACTTCCAGGGGAAAGGAAATAGGCGACAGTTCCTAAAAAGTTTGCTACACTCCATACATGGTTTGTGACTGGATGCACAGTATGTAGCAAGCAAATTAGTGGATTAGCATTAAGAATCTCTAAATGATCAACCAACTGTCATAACTCACTGGGAAAAGGTTCAGATGAAGAGTAGGGGTACAATTTTTTTTCAATCTGTGTAAAACACCTGCAATGATCCATTTATAATACCCACGAAGCATCTAGAAAAGGAAAATAAAAATGATTGGACATTGTTGACATACATGAAGTGCAGGTATAAATCATGTCCTCGTTATGGGTTACCTAAAGCAAGCACCAGTATCCACTTCAGACTTCAGAGTCAGACGTCTATTCGTCTTATCAAAGAATAAGATGCTAAAGGTAATAATGCTAAGAGCATACCAAATCATCATAACAAATATAGCCACAGAAGTTTCTCCTTTTTTTGTATAAAACATAACAAAACATATTGTTACACATATTTCTTCCATTTAAATGAAGTAACAAAGAAGAGAAACATTTCTATTGTTTTATGCCAAAATGATTGGAGTCAACCCACAAAGCTAACAGATAAGGGATAAGCATTACACGTATTCTGAATCCATTATAAACGACTTGACCATTCCCTGCTACAATACGTTACTCAAAGCAATAACCAAGGGAAGAAATATTTCTTAGCTAAATCTGAGCACAACACCAGTGATGATAGGATCTATAAGATCCTCTAAATTCTAAAATCACAGCACTACGTCATGTGACCACACAACTGCTTCCTCTTTTTTTATTATTGAGAGTGAAGAGCTTCTCCTGTTGCCTATAAATGAGTGGTAAAGACAGCAATTCAGTACGAAGCATAAGACATAGTGGCTTCTTCTCCCTAATAGCTACCTTCTTCCTATCAGGCTGGAGTTCATCAAGGATCTAAACCTGAAACTGGAGCCCACAAGCACACAGAGGAAGAAGAACACCGAGACTGGTTCCCAGCCTATCCAAGGCAGAAGCGAGCAACGTTAGAGTGGTAGTAGCATGGTGACCGTGAGAGAGGAGATGCGTAAGGGGCCATGGACAGAGAAGGAGGACATGCAACTGGTATGCACGGTCCGCCTGTTTGGTGACCGTCGTTGGGACTTCATTGCCCAAGTCTCAGGTTTGAGGGGTTGGCGAACTGCAACTTAGGTAGCTATTTTGTTATCCTTAGCGCAAAGTCGCAAACATAAATGTCTTCCTGTCTAACCAGCCCTCTTCATACTATACGCTCTCTATGTTCGTGCAGGCCTCAACAGGACAGGAAAGAGCTGTTGCCTGCGGTGGGTGAACTACCTTCACCCTGGCCTCAAGCATGGCCGCATGTCACCACAAGAAGAACGCCTTATTATTGAGCTCCATGCTCGGTGGGGGAACAGGTTTGATTAGAGAGTAACTTTTCTTAGTTACTAAATTTAGGTGAAGACAGAACTCAGTCAAATTCTCCATATGTAGGTGGTCTAGGATAGCACGGAGGCTGCCAGGGCGCACAGACAACGAGATCAAGAACTACTGGAGAACACACATGAGGAAGAAAGCACAGGAGAGGAAGATGAGCCTGTCATCACCTTCATCCTCATCCTCCTCACTGACATACCAAGCCTGCCTTCTTGACACCGTTCCAGTCATTGGGATGGGCAGTGGTGACACACACAATGGTAGCTGCGTCACCAGCGCCCTCGAGAACACACAGAGTGCCATGGATGGATATCCCATGGATCAGATATGGAAGGAGATTGAGGCACCGCAGGCACCTACCTTGCTGGGTATTGCTGAAGGAAAAGAGAAGACATGCAGCAGTATCCCCTGTCATCTACCATCACCTGCTATGTGGGATTACAAATATCCTGAGGTATTCTGGAAGATGGAAGATCAAGAAATCATGATGTGATAGAAGATGAAGAAACCATGATGTTGGCTCCACTATTTGGTTATGGTAAATAAGGCCTCGCTATTGAAGGCTGAAGGAATACATCTATATAGGTCAGGTCACTCAGCTATCTGCCTAGCAGATTTGCAGTACTTGTACTTCCTAGCTATGCTTGCATTAGTATGGGTTTCAGTATTTTAAAATCTACTGTAACACTGGAGGTATGCTTATGGTGTATGTATCTATGTAGTGTGCAAAATAGTTTGTATCAGTTTGTGGAATAGAGTGCAATACAAGGACGCTCCATACCAGGTTGTTATGTGTGGCTGCTGGGATTGACAGGGAGAGAGTTGAGGAAGAGGCGGCGACAGCCGAGCTACAGTACCCACGGCGCTGCAGTACGCGCGGGTACTGTTCACATGAGGGAGGCTGGAGGCCGGCCGGGGGCCTTGCCCACGGCCGAGCAAGAGGGAAGGAATTTCCTTCTTAATTCTTGCTTGATTAGATTGATACATCTCCTCTCCTTATATAGAGAGGTTTACTTGACTCCTAAGCAAGCGGCTAATTAACCCTAACGGGCTAAGGCCCAATAGGCCCTTGACTCCTCTAACAATGATATATTTATTTATCTCTGTTATTATTGTGCTGAACAAATAACAGCATAATCTGGTTTGCAGTTATTATTCAATAGAATAAGATACAAATTGAATGTTACATTTAAAGTTATATAATTTCTTAGGATAAGATAAAGGCAGATTTTAACCATGATGAAATATTTCTATTAGACACACAATTTGTTGATTTCTCCAAACTTGAGTTCAGTTCTAAATAAAGCTCAAATCATTTCTTACGTCCTTCATGGACAAGGGATAGCGCCCCCAACCCTCTCCTCCTGCCCAAAAAGAACTTTAGTCCTAAATAAAACTTGATAAAACTGTATCCGGATTCAGGAAAAATAGAAAGGAGACTGAGAATAAAAAATATTCGTCCAATAAAATAGAGCCCAAGATAGACAAGAACTTAGTTTACAACATGTCAAACTGAAACTGTAAGTGAGGAATATTGCGTGGGATTAGATTGATGATTGCCAAGTACAGGATACATGTGCCAGAGCTATAGGCAGCAGCAACCCTAAGTGCATGGGCCTAAGCCCAACCACTGCTGAAACCTAGCTAGGCCACTAATAGCCTGTCTAACAGAAACAAATCCACAACTTATTTGTAATAAAGAGCAGGAATGACAGCATGTTTATTCTTAAGTTCAGTTCCAATAGAGATCTTGGTACACATATGCAGCTTGTCCATAGGTAAGTTCTGAAACAGGCCAGAAACACCAGTGACAAGATAAACCCACTGATTTCTTGCATGGGATGCACTACCATTAGCTTTTTCAGGCCAATATTGGTGAGGACTTTTGGACTACTGTAGATGTGTCGGTACAACTGAACAGAACAGAACTGCCAGGTTCAGTGCAAGAGTGAGTGAGCTATCATTTCGTCTCTTGATAATTATAAAGCTGATTAGCATTAGTATTTAATAATAAAGTTAAATCACACTAACCAATAAGACGAGGAAGAAGTTTCAGGTAATGCACGCAACAAATAAGAAATTTAATGTGTGTGATAAAGTAAATAAAAAGTGTTGATAAGTGCTCTGCACTTGAGACCTCTTTAGCTAGCTACTTGTTGAAACTGCTCCTGCAAATAATTAAGCTAAGATTTTTGTTCTAATTGAGCTGGGTTTCAACTCTTGCCTACCCCAACTTGTTTAGGACTTAAAGGCTTTGTTGTTGTTGTTGTTGTTGTTGTTTTGTTCTAATTGAGCAATAAGGTAGTGCATGGACCACAAAGACCCAGCCATCACTGCTCTCTTTTACTCCACGGCATACAACTTGGAGAAAAGCTTTGATACGGATAAGAATTAAAAATTTCTTTCCTTTTTCTTCTGTTAAATTAAATATTGCAAGTTGTAAAAAGGGAAAGGACACATGTTGGGGCTACCTACATCTACATATATAGTGAATTCACAAATGGAAAACAATTCAGCAAAAGACAGCACGTCAATTAGCAAAGCAGAGTAGCAGATTATGGCCATGGTGTTTTACTTATCTAACAATAACCATTATAAACAAGAAAACTTCCACTGTGTCATGCAATTATGATTCTTTTAGATCAGGGAGGAAATCGAAGTACCAGAAGATCACAAGACTATGATACAAAAAAATGTGTATTGTATCTATGTGCACATTTGGAAACTAAGAATTTATGAGGCAGCATGTTATATTTTGAAAAACACTATTAACTTGCCATTCATTCAGGCATATTGACAGAATTAAAAAAAAACAATGAGGAAACTAAGACGAGGCAAACTATTATCCATAAATGATCCAAAATCAGATACGTTGTGCATGGCAATGATCCAAAATCAAACACAGGAAGCATCCATGAATATCAAGGGTACAACAACCAGAAGGCACCTCACTATTGAAATTGTCCAAAGGAACTTCAGTCCTGCCACAGTATAGGGCTGAACATGTCAAATAGATGCTATAGAGTAGAGCAGTAGATACACCAGATATTTCAACAGCCCAATGTCAGCACACACTATCTGAAACAAAAATCAAATGGAGCATACCAGACTGTAGTTGATTAATCTTGTAATCAATCTCTGAACCTTTGAGTCATCAAGAAAAAGTTGTTATCATGTTCCCTAATACCTAAAATAGTTCGGTAAACATTTGCAGATACTAATAGCTTAATGATCCAAAGGAAGTACGGTGACGTCAAGAAAAAAATATCTGGAAGGCGAAGGAGTGGGTTATGTGAAACTTATATAATCAAGAATGCGCTCGCTTTCTCTCTACACACCATTTATTAAAAAATAGGAAAATCACACGTGCCCTCCGAAATAAATTCACTACATTTCTAAAGTTAACCCACTGCGCACTAAATAGATTCGCCGTTTTCTGTAATTGTTCAGAAAGAAAGCCAAAAGTCAATGGATAATTCGCCATGGTACCACATGTTTGGAGCCCTATACCTAATCACCTCTCCACTTGTAAGCACCTTGGAAGGGAATTCATACTACATTAGGTATGACCAAACAGCCTAACATCCAGCAAAAAATATTGGCAAGGCATTTGAATACTAGTCACTACTCCCGTAGCAGAACCTAAACAGAAACACCATCGCCCATTTGGTTTGTTAGGTAAACCTCCTACCTCCGTCCACTTCATATCACACCCTCACATTGTCTGCCGCTGAAAATTAGTCTACCTCCTAGTCCTAGTGCAGTGCAGGACAAAGAAACGCACCAGATTCTAGATCTGCAGCAGGACTGGGGATTAATGACCGCGATGGCAAAGGAGAATCCATTCAAGCACTAACGCGCGCGAAAAGAAATGTATCCCGGGATGCAAAGGGAGGTCGGGTACCATTGGAACGGACCTTAGCTTCTCGCATTGTCGTTGCCCTGCATTGCCGGTGGAGGCAGCGGCGGCGGCGAGGACGACCGGTAAGCAGAAAGACTGGGCTTTTTTTCTGGAGAAAAGGGGTGACTTTATTCAATGTCGCGACAAGATAATCTAGAAACCTGGTAAAGGAATCGACACCCTAGGCTTCTCCGCTTGCCGGCGCCATGCTGGTCCAAGGCAGGAAGAAGGCGCCGACGAAATCGACGCCGGAAGCCGGCCGAATGGCCGTTCGGTTGCCCTGTTCTACTGTAGCCAAAGGGAAAGAAGAGTCGAGATGATGGGACTGGGCTAGGGGAACGAGAGGGCGAAGAATCAGCCCAAGTGAAGAAATAGTATGTGCCTAATAAGAGGAGGCCCAAGGCCCATTTCAGGTAGGACAAAATCTGTCTTGACTATTGGATGAGTCCGATTTATCTCTCTCAACACTTTGAAATCATATGACGTCCATATGATTTACCTTATTATTAAGCGGTTTTCGCTGACATGGCCTACGTTAGTCATCTTACGTGGCGCCACATCAGTTGCGAGGGAAGTAAATCGTACTTTCCCGATAGTTCATGAGGTCAATTAGGATTTAAAAAATATAGAGATAATTTTTTTAAAAACTATCCAAATATTTTTATATAATGTATATGAATTTAAAATATAAATTTTATTTAATATTAGAAAATTCAGAGAAATTTGTTTTAATAAACAAGTAGGGAAAATATATAACTAGTTTCATATTTTTTTTGAAATCATGCTCTATGTTTTCTTGGGCTAGGCACCATAATATAGAACATGATTTAGGGAACATATGAAGTTTGTCAGCACGAGGCACCCATCCAAATTGCCTTCCTGCTCGATCATGTGCTCCCATTGTGTGAGTAGACCTTTGACGATAACAATGAACGTGGAAGTGGTCGTGTCCATGTAGATGTTATCAGCTATCATGTTGCAGACATCAGTTTGGGAGTTTGAGAAGTTGCACTCCTCTCTGTTTCATATGTGGCTTAGTTTCAAATTTTAGGAAGCCATATAAGATTCAATAATTCTAAGCAAGGAACAAAAAAGGTAGAGCATGATTCTATGAATGTTCTACTATTAAATCGGATTTTAGTATTTTTAAATGCATATTTATTTTAGAAAGCTATTTGGATAATTTTTCGAAAAATATTTCTACAATTTTTGTAAAGTCAAATTGACCTGCCTTAACTATCTTGAAAGTTCCAATTACCTCTCTTGCGCCATGTCACCCATCCTACGCGGCACCACAACAGCGAAAATCCTTTCAAAACCGCTCAAATTGGACGATTTTAAGAGTTGGGGAAATCTAAACATCGGATTTTTTTTATTGAGCGAGACAAATCGCACGCAATAGTTGATGGAGGTCGGATGGATTTTTTTCACCAATGGAAGCCTAGGGCCCAATGTTCCTGATGGACAGGTGCATGTTCCTTTTTTTTAAAAAAAAAAGGTAAAATTCATTCAAGGTTTAAACACATAGTACAGAGATAGGACAAAAATTGCCCCATTTAAAGTTTTCCAGAACCATCTGGATCGTACAGTTT